CCTCTGTTCCCAGGGAGAAAAGCCCTGGGATTTTCAGCAAGAAGAACAGCATGAGCCCCAGCCCTTCAAAACCCCATGTATTGCCTCCAAGAGAGACTCAAGAAGCTGCCGAGGTGAACAAGCACTACTTCATCTCTGCCGAGCACTCGTACGCCTCGCAGATGCCTGAGCACTCAAAGAAACACGTGTATCCCAGGGGTACCCCTTACCCTGCGCCAGCACCCTCCAGAAACGGGACCAGGAACACCCGAGCAGGACCCCTGGTTGGGAAGGTCCTGCCTTTCCGCCACCAGCAGAACAGCACCCACTCGCAGCGTCCCTTCGAGGCCGTGGTGATGAGGCGCAGGAGCAGCCTGCTCTCCCCCAGGCTGAAGGAGGACTTTGCCAAGTCCCACACGGTGAACGTCAGTGGTGAGTCCGTGAGGGTGACGTGCCGTTGGGAGGCAGAGTATCTCTTCAATTTGGACAGCAGATACACCAGCGATGCCCTGGTGAAAACGGTCATCCGCGCCCTGCACGGGTAAGTCAGTCTGGAAGGACATCCGCAGGGGACACCTCTTGCTGGGTGTCTGGAGTGCTTTTGGAAGGCACTTGCTTTGCTCTTTTTTTGCTTTGCTTTACATGATAAGTCCCCTTTTCCTCATGCTCAGATGCCCAGTTTTGTGGTGTTAAAGCTGGTGTGTGTTCCCTCTGGAGGAGGACTTGGGTGACAAATTGGACTGGCAGCCCAGAAAGCCAGTCGTATCCTGGGCTGCATCGAAAGCAGCGTGGGCAGCAGGTCAGGAGAGGTGATTTTATCCCTCTCCTCCGCTCTCCTGAGTCCCCTCTGCAGTGCTGCGTTCAGCTCTGGGGTCCTCAGTACAGCAAAGACATGGAGTTGTTGGAGCAGGTCCAGAGGAGGCCACAAAGATGATCGGAGGGCTGGAGCACCTCTGCTGTGAGGACAGGCTGAGAGGGTTGAGGTTATTCAGCCTGGAGAAGAGAAGGCTCCGGGGAGATCTTATTATGGCTTTTCAATACATAAAGGGGCTTACAGGAATGACAGAGAAAGAGTTTTTACCGTGGTGTGTAGAGACAGGACACGGGACAATGATTTTAAACTGAGAGAGGGTAGGTTTGGTTTGGACATAAGGAAGAATGTTTTATGCCAAGGGTGGTGAGACACTGGAACAGGGAAGTTGTGGATGCCCCATCATTGGAAGTGATCAAGGTCAGGTCAGAGGGGGCTTTGAGAAACCTGATCTAGTGGAAGGTGTCCCTGGTATCTTCTGCTATGGCAAGCGGGGATTGGACTAGATGATCTTTAAAGGTCCCTCCTAACCCAAACCTTTCTGTGATTCCTGCGGCTCTGCAGCTAGAATTGGTGCCTAGAGCCATGAGCAGAAGTCCTCCTTTGCAGCCAGGAGTTTCTCCTTTTTTCAACAAGCTGGAAACTGCCTCAAGTGATCCGTGTCCGCAGCTGGGCGTTTGCAGCCCCCCTGCATTGGGGCTGAGCCCCGTGAGGACCCAGCAGATGGGTTACCTTCTGCTAGTCAACTGGAGGGAGGATGAAGACATTTCAGGCTGTGTTTGCTTTCCCTTCCAGGCCCTGGGACCCTGATCTACCCGACGACGTGGAAGAGATGAAGCTGATAGTTCATATGTGGGTGGCTCTCTTCTACAGCAAACCCAGCAAACTCCTGAGCAGCACGAGGGAGGTGGTGGAGCACAGCAACCCCGAGAAGTACGTCTCAATAAACAGCACTGGGGACTTTCTTGAGCTGAGTGATGATGGTGAGGACTGTTTCGGATTGGAGACATGCCCTGCAGACTCTCGGTCAGACCCTGACCAGACTCCCAGCAGCTCTCTGGATCGCCGTACATATGGCCAGGGACCTTTCCTCCCCGAGGAGAGCCCTGCAGACTCTCAGACTGATGCTGATGGAACTCCTGGTGTTGTTGATAGTACAGTATCATCTTCTTCAGAGGAGCCGCCCTGTGGGGAGGAAGAACCTTCCTCCACAAGCTGCCCCGAGAGCCTTTCCCTCACTGAACATGCTGATGAGAGCCTGGCTGTTGCAGATGGGCAGCCAGCAGTCGCTCCTGAGGAGTGTGTGCGTGACATCTCGACCATCGCTGCGGTAAGAGCCTGGGGTTTGGGTGATACGAGTCTGTAGGGCGTGCAGCTATTTGCAAAAAGCAATTTTGCTTTTATAGGAGTAGCATCTTCTGAGAGGAGTGGAGCAGATGTGCTTGTGGGCTCTCTTACAGCCAGGTAGTGGGGATCCCCAAAGCAGGACAGGGAAAGGAAACGTCCCCCAGCATTTAGCTGCTCCAAGTGACTACCACGCAGACATGCTCAGAGTCTCCATAAAAAAGCAGCTTTCAGGCCTCAGTCTGGGTTTGGATGTCCTCTTCGACTGAGCTGGCATCCCCGGGCTCTGGCACAAGCAGTGGCTATCCCTGTCCAAGGGAGCAAGGCCTCGACGTGGACGCTCTCCAAGGGGGAGGAATCCCAAAGAACTAGAGCGGTTGAAGTTTTGAGCTCGGCGTCTGTTCCTGGCTTCAGCTGCGAGCCGTGTGAGCTCGGATGAGGTCTCAGACCTGCGCCTAACCGAGGGAGGAGAGGAACCACAACTGCTCCAGACCAGGGCTCAAAATCCTGCCTGTCTCCTGCAGACAGCTGCGTTTCCCTGCCCATGGCCGCAGCAGCCCGGACGTGGCAGGAGACACGGCACAGCCTTTCCTCTGCTGGTTTGGGAAAGCTGAGGTTTGCTGGCTTGGAGAGGTTTCCCCCCCAGGGATGGCAGTTCAGTGCTTTGCAACGTTTCCTTCCCCTCTCTGGTCAAGTTAGTTAATATTCCATTCTGGGTTGGGTTTGTTACGTTAATCTTTACAGTTTCTACGATCTGCAGATGGTCAGGAGTGAAGGTACTTGGGTAAATATAAACCACGGGTGTCTTCAAGCCTGAATTCTTGAACTAAAATAATCCCTTTAAAACGTCTGCCCTGAACAAACGGGCGGCTGCCATAAGGCTGCAAGTGTTTTCATAGAATCATGGAATGGTTTGGGTGGGAAGGGACCTCAACGATCATCCAGTTCCAACCCCCCTGCCATGGGCAGGGACACCCTCCACTACACCGGGTTGCCCAAAGCCCCATCCAACCTGGCCTTGAACACTTCCAGGGATGGGGCAGCCACAGCTTCTCTGGGCAACCTGTGCCAGTGCCTCACCACCCTCAGAGGGAAAAATGTCTTCCTTAGATCTCATCTAAATCTCCCCTCTTTCAGTTTAAAGCCATTGCCCTTTGTCCTATCACTACACACCCTTGTAAAAAGTCCCTCTCCAGCTCCTTTTGCATGAAGGAAAGATATCCTGGTGTTTTTTTTACCATTTGGGCTTAGTGCTGTGGAGCAGGCAGAAGTGTTTTGGGGGGACATGTGGGCTCACTGTCCATAGTGTCCATATAGTGACAGACAAACTCGGTAGAGATAAGAGGATGCTGCTGTGTACCTTACCTCTGGGCACCGGCTGATGGCCCCTGCAGAGTTTGGCCCGTTTTTTAAGCCATTTCATGAAATAAAGGAGGTAGAAAGTCTCAAAACCTTTCCCTGGCTGGCTGCAGTGGGGATGGTAGTAGCTCATGTGGGGGAAGGATTCAACTTGGACTCGTTTTAAAGACAAACTCAAACTAATTTCCCCACTTGCTGTGGGGCTGGTCATACTCACAAAGTTTGAGCATTTAAAATATCCACGTCCTCCTGCACGGGTGTCTCAGCTCCTGTGTTTGCCTCCCTTGAAGATTAACCTCTAAATTGTGTTGTTTCAGGAGGAGCTGCCCAAGGAAGGGCTGCCGGATGCTGCAGTCACCCCCAGCCCTTCCCATGAGCTTGGCAGTGCCAGCAAGCCGCCAGCTGCGCTGGGCAGGGAAAACCCGTGCGACCAAGCCCCAAATTCCAGTACAGCTCCCCGGAGTGATGAACCGAGGGCACTGCATGGATGTGGAGAGCAACAGGAGGGCGAATGGGCAGCAGAAGACAGAGAGAGCAGGGGAGATGCTGGGCACTGTATGGAGGTTGAAGAGGGCGGCGGGGCCACCAGCGATGGACCGCAACGTGCCTGTGATTCGATGCCCTTAGAAGCGTGTCCCAAGACTGCAAAGCTTGATGGAGCCAGTGGGGAAGGGAGAGGATCTCAAGACCCCTTTGGACATCCAGAAAAAGAGGAGGAAGAAGGAAAAAAAGAGAAAGATGACTCTGAATATGAAAGCACAGTCCTGGGGCCTGTTGATTTAGCATTTTGTGAAAGTGATGATGCCGACATGGAGCATGAACACAGCAAGCAGAAGCAAGTGAATTCAGCATGTCCGAAGGATTTTGGCATT